TCATGAGAAAAATAAAGAGTTAAATATTGTATTTAAGTGTGAAATTTGGCTTGATTCTTTGTAATTTAGGTTTGCATTGTATTTAATGTGCTAATTTAAAAAGGTTCAAATAATCCTGCTCTAAAAGAGAAATACTTCTGGCTATTTCCTTTTTAAAACACGATTTGTTCACATGCATCTGTTTATTCATACATACAGGTAAGTTTAATTAAAAATACTTACATTTGTTCCTGTAAAGCTACTTAGATAGGACTGTTAAGGGTATAAAAGAAAAACCAAAACTTATGGAGAGCTTCAAATATGCCAGGCACTGTTCTAAGTGCTTTATACAGATGGCTTCATTTACTTCTTCCAACAGGCCAACCCTACGAGATGAGCATTATTATAATTATTCTTGATTTACAGGGAGAAATCTGAGGGAAGGGGCAGATTCCCTTGCTCAGGGTTGCAGAGCTGAGAATCTAAGCCAGCAGCCTGACTCATAGCCTTAACCACTCACTTCTCCCCAATAAACTTCCAAGTAAACAAAATAAACAGCCACAGTGTAGCATGGTGGTTCTCTTTCATGTAATGATCACCTCACAAACAGTTCCTGAATGCACATAATCTACAAAAACTGTGCTAAAATGTGCTTAGAAAAAAATGTCTTTCATGCAGGGACAAGAGAAGATGACAGACTTGGCTTGGGAACCAGCACTATGTCTTCTGGGTATGAATTTGTATAGGTTCTGTGAGGAGGACAGTAAGAACATCTCTTAAGAGTAGGGATAAATGACATCGTTTATTTAACATAGGATGGGACATGAATATTATGACTATTCATATTATCTAGTTTCTATTCTTGAGTGGCTGGGGTAGAAGGATAGAAAATCATGTAAATAATTACAAAAGAATACAGAAAAGTTCTATAAAGGAGGAGTGTTCAGATCAGATTAGAACCCTAAAGGTGGGAGGGTGGGTAGAGGTATTAAGAACAAGCAAATGGTGGTTAAATTGAGGAGTTCTAATTAAAGCCAAGGTTCTAATTAAAGCCAAGTATAGACCCAATGTTTAATAAGTGTATTTTATCTTTAATACAAATGCGGTTATGTTTTCATCTACAGATTAAGAAAATAACATTTATCAAGTACATTTTATGTGCCAGGCACTGCAATGATTTTCCCATATTCCTTTTTTTAAAAAATATTTTTTTAGTTGTAGATGGACACAATGTCTTTATTTTATTTATTTATTTTTATGTGGTGCTGAGGATCGAACCTGGTACCTCATGCATGCTAGGCAAGCGCTCTACCACTGAGCCACAACCCCAGCCCCGGGATTTTCCTATATTCTATGGCTTATTTAATGCTCAAAACACCAAGGTATTGACATTTTAGGTAGTTCTGATTAGAGCTTAGTGTTTTTCTGCATTTGAATTGGAACAATTGCTACCAGGCAGAAGACCTGAGCCTCCTGCCATCATCTACAGCTCCATGTGGCCCTCACATTGGTGTTTGTGCCATGGCTATGTGCATTTGTATTTGTGTAGCAGTTACCTTTTTACCAGTGTTAAAAAGGTAACTTAATATGATGAATTTTTAAAAATTCACAGTAAATTTTTTTTTATAAAGAAAGTAATAAAGGGGCTGGGGTTGTGGCTCAGTGGTAGAGTGCTTACTTCACATGTGTGAGGCCCTGGGTTCAATTATCAGCACTGCATATAAATAAATGAATAAAATAAGTTCCATCGATAACTAAAAACATTATATATATATATACATATATATATATATATATATATATATATATATATATATACAAACACACACACACACACACACATACATTAAAGAAAGCAACAAAGCATAGGTGTGATGTTCATTTTTCCATTGTTCCTAGCACTAATCTTTCTTCTGTGCACTTTGTGTCTAGAAACATTTTGAGGACACTTAACTCACTCTCTTTGCTTTCCAGAACAGAAAGCTAGCTTCTGCTCTTATTTCTCTCTCTCAGTTAAAGTTGGCAGTACCAATGAGTAACCAACCCAGTTTTTCAAGGTAAAAATCTAGGGTTTTCACTCCAGTGAAAGTCCCTCCTCCTGAGCTCATGTTTTGCTTTCTTTCAGGGTCCCTGCTCTTGCCAGACCATCACAGCCTCTTCCCTGGTTGACAACTGTGATCATCCCCTGCTCCCCTTGATGCTAGTATTCCCTCTCTCTGCCTTTCTGCCATCCACAACACTGTTCTGGTTACTCTTCTAAAACACAGGCAGGATATTCCTCTATTGGAAACTTGCACTGGCTCCCTAGTGCCCACAAGATGAAGGCTGAAGGCCTCAGCATGGCATCATGGCTTTCAGTCTCTGGCCTCATCCTGCTTTTACTAGAGCCAGTCATACAGCTGTTCTATCAACACTGAACCACTTGCCCATCCTATGACTCTGGACCTGATCTCCCAATCCTGCATACTTCTGAGAGTTCATCTTAAAATACACAATTCTTGTAGATGATAGGTACTATTTCCTCTTCTAACAATTTTTAAAAGCTTCACAGCTAAGAAATAATAGAAGACTAGAAAGGCACCTAAATTTGGGTGCCTTGGTATTGATGGTCCCTTCGTTTTGGGGAGTCAATGTCCCACCCCAGGCTAGCCTCATGAATGCCCAGGAGCACTATCTCTGGACAGTACATACACATCCAATGCTGGGACTCACTGCCAGGCCCACTAGATAAAGTTTGGTTTCTGTTGAAGAGGTGAATCAAATGGTGCATCAGCTGAATAATGTAAAGGCAATATGTATACAGATAATCTGCTTTTCTTTAGAAGCAAGTTACTTTAAAGAGATAATCAACACCTGAGTTTTCATGGATAATTCTGAATGTGCTTAATCAAACTTAATAGCTCCTGTTAACAAAAATAATCATGAATACGAGGTAAATTATTTTTATATAATATGTAAGTGAAACCATAAAACTGATATTGGTAAAGATAATAAAAATTCTGTTTCATGAATGTACATAAAGCCTTTATCAGATCTTCTTTAATTTATCTCTAAAGTACATTTGGAGCTTAAAAATAATGAAAGGAGAAATTTCAGTCATTAGTATTAGATGTACATCATCTCCTACATGGGTTGTTCTTAATACTAACATTAGAAAATTTAAGGAAAAATGAAAGTATAATGAATAATGCTTAGGATTAAAAAGTTAAGGAAATTAGAAAATTTAAGGAAAAATGAAAGTATAATGAATAATGATTAGGATTAAATGTACTTTGTAGAATAATTTACCTCTGTTTCCAAATTCATGATTTACCTGGGATTTGAACCAGGCCTTTAGTTGCAGTAAAAATATGATCTAATAAAATGAGCAGACTGATCCAGGGTAGAATCATCATTAGTGATTTTTAAAAATTAAATGTTTAGAAGAATTTCCTAACATCTGTAGCATATGCTTATTTTTAAAAATTTTATTTAAAAATTATTTTTTAGAGATTTTTAATAAGAATTTTTTTAGTTATAGATGGACACAATACCTTTATTTTACTTATTTGTTTTTATGTGGTGCTGAGGATTGAACCCAATGCCTCACAAATGCTTGGCAAGTATGCTAACACTGAGCTATAACCACAGCCCCTGCTTATACATTTTTAAAAAATACCTCAACACCAAGGATTGGATAAATGATTTTCTATTCTAAAAAGTCATCAGATGAGGGTTGGGGTTGTGGCTCAGTACCGGTAGAGCACTCGCCTAGCACGTGCAAGGCCCTAGATTTGATCCTCAGCACCACATATAAATAAATAAATAAAGGCATTGTGTCCAACTGCAACTAAAATAAATAAATAAATAAATATTAAAAAAGGGTCATCAGATGAGCAAGGTGTGGTTGCGCAAGCCTTATAATCCCAGCCACTCAGGAGGCTGAGGCTGGAGGATCATGAGTTCAAAACTCAGTGAGACCCTATAATAAAATATAAAAAGGGCTGATGATGTGGGCTCAGTGGTTGAGTACCCCTGAGTTCAATCCCCAGTACCAAAAAAAAAAAAAGGTTACAAAATGATTATTTTGGTTGTCTTCCTTTATTAAGGAAGTGTGGATATAGGCTAGCAATCCTTCAGTTTAAAAGAGAGTACTTAAAAAAATAGCAATTTGTTTCTTATTTAAAGTTTAAAAGGTAGGGCCAAACTCCAGTCCTATATAGACCTGGGGGAGTTCTCAGCAGGATCTGATTCCTACGAGATCTGATAATAACAGATCACTCACTCATGTTTATTTTAAGAACTCTGCCAACAAGTTGGGGTTCACAACATAAGTGTACTTAGATAAAGATATTATAAATAGAGTATGCAATGGCAAATACAGCACATTATGATAGAAATTCGTTTTACGGTCTATGAATATAAAACAACAAGTCAGATGGCTATTTCAGATATAATCCAACATCCTGAACTGCAACAACATTCAAGCTATGATATTAAAATAGCAAACCTTTGCAGAACGTTAACCTATCATTATACCGAGTAAATGACATGGCACTGCCACCTAATTAGCAGTGTAGCTTGCATCTATAAAATAGAATTAGCACTACTGCTTCTTTTTTATTATTAGTTTGTGTTTCCAGAAAGGTATGACCTTATCTGTATGCTTCTGTTCATTTATGCCCATCTACAAAGGATTTAATTATGTTCTTTTAGTTTTCTACACTGAGGAAATTGAAAACTGCCACTTCAAAATTAAAAATGTTAAAGAAATTAGTGAGCAGATTATTTACACCATCACCCTTCTTCTTTCAGAGATAAAGAATGGAAACATGTTTAAATAAATACAGCATGAATTTTTCAAAAAAGAAAATTCTAGGCAGAAAAATTACTACTGGTCCTCTTTTTCTCTTTCTCACATGTATTCTCCAAGTTTCTCTAATTGTCTTAGGCAGAACTAGTTAAGGAGAAAGCATATTCATACTATAGAATCTCTGGAAGATATATCTGTTACAGTCAGCAGCCAGAAAACATCAACTTACATCTGAGGAAGGTGATTCAAGAACAATGCCGAATCCCAGGACGTGGCTGTCCTTGGTGGAGGTGAGCTCTGAGGCTTGGGGACCAGAGGGCTCCAAGGCCCCTGCTGCTGGCTTCTTCTCAATTTCTAACACACTGGGCTTCTGTTTCACAGTAACAGGTTCAACCGTCTTTGGGGGCACTTTTTTCTTTTTATTTCTCTTGCGTGAGACAGCAGTTCGCTGGGAGCATATAAGGGAAATTGGGGGTTGTTGTCTGTTTTGAGTTCCAACTGTGAACAATAAACACAAATACGGTACAGGCACTGGTGTCTACCTGAGGAAAACTTACCCCCATCTATCTCTGTGATTTACAAACCGATAGTGAGGTTCTTTTAAAGATGATACACACCCAAATAAGCCTTACTCTGGACCTCGAGGTTACCAAATATAGGCTGGGCACACTTTAGAGCCCTGTAGGCAGAAAAACACCCAGAACAAAACCCAGTTCCAAAAGAGGACCATTGCAACATACTGGTACTGATGGCTTCAACAAAGAAAAGGATTAAGGGCTCTGAGAAAACCTGCAGTCTTCATAAATCATCTGACACTTAAAAATAAATAAGAACTTTGGAACTTAAATTCAGGTATAGATATCCATGCTTTCTAGTAAGCCCACTTCAGGAACATGCTGACTGTCATTTGGAATTAGGCTGATTAGTTGCCAACAATCTACAGGTGTCCAGACTGACAAGCTGGAGCAATGATCATCATTTGGGCAAGACTGATAAAGGGAAGTATTCAGTAACAGGGAACAGTAATAAGCCCGTGGAAAAAGCCTGTTGGTCACTTGAGCAGGCCGGGGAACTCCTTCCTCATTAAATATTCTGAGCATATCACCTATCTCCACGGCACCATGTTCCATGGTATTAGCCTAGGTCACCTCTCTACACCTCAGTTTTGCATAGTTGAAAAGAGGAATAATATAGTTCTATATAAGTCAGGCAGATTAGTAAAATCCAGAAACAATTTGAGTTCCAAAGATGAAAAGCACTATATAAGGACTAAAGCCAAGGTAGTTTTCACAGGTGCATTCTGAAAAGTAGTGACTGTTAGCTATTTAAAAATACTCTGATGGAAAGTGAAATAGAAAAAATGGCCTGAATTTGCATTAAATCCTCATGTATTAATATGGTTTATTAAATATGACCACAGATTATGCCTGCTTTTTTGCAGAAAGAAACCTATTAATGAAAGCAAAATAAAAACTGTGTTCATATGCACATAGACATGGGTCACGTCCTCTTACTTCTTTCCTATCAGTCTGAAAATAAAGAATATTTACACTTGATTCTGATGTTTTCATCTTCAGACTGGAAGGCAAGTTATAAGTATTGGAAACAAATACTTAAAAAAGTAGTTTAACCATTTGTGTAGTATTTAGTCTTACTGGTTCTCTACCTCAGCTGCATATTAGAATTACTGTGAAGTTTAAAAAAAGCAAAAACAAAGATTGAAAATAACAACAACAACAACAAAAAAAAAACTCAGTCCAAAAAACACCACAGACTAAATGAACAACAGCCCAGTCTGGAGTAGGTCCCAGGCATGTTAATGTGATATATATATATATATATATATAATTCACATATATGTATATATGTGTATATTTTTTTAAATTGTTGGTAGACCTTTATTTATTTATATGCGTTGCTGAGAACTGAACCCACTGCCTCACACATGCCAGGCAAGTGTGCTACCACTGAGCCCCAGCCCAAGCCCATGTTAATGTTTTAAAGCTCCTCCAGTGATTCTAACATGCAGCCAGAGTTGAAGACTTCTCTTTATTCTATCTGTGTGTTTACTCCAGGCTAGCTTTGGCCTGTCAAATAGACCCCCAAAGTGATGCTCAATCTCATCTATGCCACAACCCTAAGCCCCACTATTTCAAATTAAAAGAGAAAATGTTTTTGCTTTGCAGAACACAGAGGACGATATGAGTTTTCCTTCTCCTTTTGCAAATCTAGACAGAGCCCACACTTCTGGCATCTGGATCTTAACTTGATCTTATTCCTTGTCTGTTCACTAAAATAAAGGTTCGTGAAACTTTCAAAATATAATTTAAATCTAATTCTTACAGCCAATAAACCTTAAGTAAGTCTACCCATACAACACAAATTTTTAAGTTTAAGAAAATTAAAGTAGTGTAATTTATTCAGTTTATCCTCTGAACTATCAACAGCTTTGGAATCGTTTACCTTCCTAATCTGCAAAGGTTCAGAAAAGAAAACATGGTGACAAAGTGGCATTTACTTAATAGATTCTAGAAAGGCTTCAGTCAAGGATTTAAATGGCTGCAATTTGTAGTTTGCCATTTCAGTAGTAAGGAGCTTAAGTAACAAAATAAATCATTACAATTTCATATATATATTTTCTTAAGTGCTAACAGATTCTTCCTTTGAGAAAAGAATCTCAGTAATAATAAAGTAGCCTTTCTTTCTGAAGCCCTACTTTAGAAGATGTTAACCTTTGCCAGGTTGATAAGAACGCAGATTATTGTTGTGGAACAAGGTGAGTCAAATGCTTACTGACCTAAGCAAAATGCTTATTTTTGCCTTGGGATAAGACCAAATTCAGCATTAATAAGATGCTTTCACAAAGTCTTTAGCTCGCTTTACTCTAGTGTATTTTAGGTGGCCAATATGTCTAAGTATTAAGCTTTTTATATCTAAACCACATCAATGAGTATTAGGGTTTTTCTAGAATTCTCTCAATGGCACCAAGAGCAGTTTCTGAGCCATAATGTTCCCAAACACCACTATGATAAAAGGGTAGGACACTAATCATAATGGGTCTGTGCTATTTTTCTGCTTTATTATAACTTTCATCAAGCAGTAGTTTCCCCTAACAAAAGGGAAGACTTGAAAAAATAGTTTGTTATTTTTTGTACGTATGACCAAAAAAATCTGGTTTTCTTTGTTATGGTGATTTGAAAATAATCCACTAAATGAAGACCTTGACTTCCAGACTTCTATGAAATGCTGCATGGTATTTTTTTTTTTTTTTAAAGCACTAATGAGAAACCCATGTTTGCATCATGCTTTATGAAGTTCATTTCATTTGCTATCTCCTGATATGAAAATGACCCTGTGAGTTAGAAATTAATACTCCATTTATAGATGAAAAATGGGAAGCTCACAAGTCATATAGCTAGATAGGAGAAACTGGGTATCCAAGTCCCAATTACATATCTGCTGTTCTTCTGTTCTTCACCTTGTCCAAAGGCGGTGAGAATAAACAAAAGGAGTCAAAAATGAAGGGGACAGATGTGAGGTGTCTCTGAGCTTCTACATCCTGCAGGTGAGAGAGAAAAGTCACAAGCAGAGCCTGCGGCTCAACACTTCTCAACTGCTCACATCCTTGAACAGCTTCAATAGTGAAGACTGTACTTCCTAAAGGGCTCTTTCACGTAGCATGTTCCAGAATTTAATTAACTGACATTTGTCAAGTACCAGGAGATTGTAGGATGAAGTATATGGAGTAAATGTACATAAGCATGTGAGTAGTATTAGGGGCAATAAAAATTTTGTTTGATTTGCTAAGAAAAAAAAATAGAACTGTAGAAAAAAAGCAGAAAAAATGGACACTTGAAAAGACAGAAGGTGGGAAGGATTCTGTAACAAAAGAGCAATGAACATCCCAACTGAAGATGTCAGATGTGCATTAACAATGAATGGACACGTTCAGAGGCCTGATCTTTGTACCTGCTTGAATTTGCATTAATTTCCTCATGGTCTTGAGTTCTTGGAGAATGGCCTGCAACGTTGACTGGCAGTTACAAGTACAGCAGTTTGATCCAACTGACGAATTCACCATTGGAAGTTCTCCTAAGCATGAAAGAAAAGAATAGCATACTCCCAACAAACAAACAAACAAAAATTATAAAGAGAAAGGATCTTGACAGGATTTTGAAACATGTGCAATTATTTTGAAACTGTGCGTGAGGAAATATACCCAATAATTTTCACAACCTAAATTTTGGGTCTGAATTATCTAATTACGGAGGGTTCTGTATTATGAGATGCGTGCTGTGTCCCAGGTGGCAGGGCCTGCATGAACACATGCACACAATGTGCTGCCATAGCAGGCCTCCCTACTGTCAGACCAGTTAGTCTCAGATAACAATACCCTAAAAGTCACTATAAACACACTCAGGCTACTTTGCACCAAAAACAAAAACAACAAACCAACAACAACAACAAAAAACTCAAATAACAAAAAACAAAACCCCCCAAAAACTAGCTCTGAGAATAGCCTTAAAAAACAACTGGTAGCTGTGTATGATATCAAAGTTCATATTGAGTGAAACTATTAAAAATAGTTTTAATAGTAAGCATGTCATTTAAAAAATAAAGAGCTGTGAATACATAAAAAATTGTAGAATACTCACTGCTTGGGTATGCTGGGGGTGGGGAAGGTGGGCAAGCAGGGTAGGATAGGACATTTTTACCCATTTCCATTTCTGACAGTCTGTACACTATACTACTCTCTTGTTCTGTGTGTGTACATGTGCGTGTGGGTGCACGTGCGCTGCAAATTGAACTCAGGGTCTTATGCCTGCTTGGAAAGCACTCTACCACTGAGCAACACCTTAGTCTCTTATATTATTTTATTTTATTTGTTCTTTATAGATATACATGAGAGTAGAGTGTATTTTATATTTTATACATACATGGCCCAGTCTCTTTTTCACTGTTTAAACTTAATATAATATTTGTCTTATTAAGAAATTTTACTTTAAATGAATACTTTTCTTATTCTGTTTGCTTTATATATAAACAAATATAGGCTCCCTGTTGACTTTGGAATAAAATGGCACACTTAGCAAAGAACTCTGACTTGCGTACCCTCCAAGATCAGTGTTCACCCCCACAAAAGAAAAAGTTTAAAAAAGGCTACTATCAAATTTTCTGAAAGGTGGATGAGGTAAGTTCTAAGATTTTGTTCCAAAAGTATGTTTTATTATACATTAGATGTAATTCAAATCATATAATATGCATTATTTGTGGATATTAAAAAGTTCACTGTAGCAAAACCACGAAATGCTGGAAGATAATGTTTGAAGTAGCTCAAAATTGTAGCAAACTGACATGTTACAACTTTAAAATTACAAATAATTCCAATGAAATACCAAAGTAGTCACAGATCCATGCAGGTGATTCTTGAGCATTGCAGCAGAGTTTAGGGGAACTGACTACCCTACAGTTGAAAATTCAGTTATAACATTTCCCTCAAACTTTTGTTTTTTTTTTTTGGTACTGGGGATTGAATTCAGGGGCACTCAACCACTTTGCCACATCCCCCAGCCCTATTTTGTGTTTTATTTAGGGACAGGGTCTCATTGAGTTGCTTAGTGCCTTGCCTTTGCTGAGGCTGGCTTTGAACTCTGAATCCTCCTGCCTCAGCCTCCTGTGCAGCCTCACGTGCCATCATGCCTGGCTCCCTCTAATTTTTGACTCTCCACAGTAGCAACAAGAGGCTGCTACAAAATTATGCCAATAGTACAGTATGTATTACAGTTAATTTTATGCAATTATGATTTAATATTGCATCTTTACATTTGTTTACATTTCTTTCAACTGTAAATGAAGATGTGTAGTGTCATGCTCAGTGTTCATGTGCATCAGTTTTGATAAATTTTAATTTTTTTATAATACATGTATGTTTATTTTATGGTAGCAAGTTATGAAATAGACTATTCCCTACATTTATTTTATGTATTCATTATATATCTACCTTTTCTGAATTATTTTGCTATCTGCAGGCTAAAAAGTTTATCTGAAAGTTTTCTCATATTGTTGCAAATCTCAAAAAAAAAGTCCTCCTATAAGTGAACCTGCACAGTTCACACCCATGTTATTCAAGGGTCAAATGTATAAAGCATTATTACTGAAAGTATTAAAGCAATAAGCACAAAAAAATCTATTTTCAAGCTTACATGGAAAAATTTATATTTGTAAATTTTATTAACAGTAATAACAGTTCCCAAAACAAATCCCCCATCCGTGTTGTGTATTAGAAAGTAGAACTCTTGTTGCCTCAAAGGTACCTATGTAAGGCTCACCAACTTCATATATAACAAAGGACATTTTATTTCTCTTATTGTCTCTTCTACAGCAGTAGTTAGTTGGGAGGGCTTTACAGAATATTCCTAGGCACCATTCTAAGGACTATCTTCTTCAGTGGAAGAGGACAAAACCACCCCTTCTTGGTTTATTATACATCATTTTCTAATTTTAAAGAGAACTGACTTTTTATTTGCATGGAGGAGTCTTTAATGAGCCACCTACCTCACACCCACATGTGAACCTGACATTGGCTTATGTAATAATAAGAGGGAGAAAAGACACCATGCATCTCTGGGGTCCCTCATTGCCTTGTCAGTATCTCCATGTCCCTGAACTGGGTATTGAGAATTGTGTTAAAAAAAAAATTCAAAACAGTACTCTTTTTCTTGATGAACATCACAGAATGAAAATTATAGAAGAAAATGCTTAATTTTTCAAGGAAATAGAAAGTACCTTTTATCTTTGTAAAAAACTATATATCTATATAAAATTTATAAACAAATAACATCCAATGTCACTGGATGGAAAAATTTATATGAACAAGAAAAGCATCAATTTTTTCTTTAAGCTTAAAAAATTGTTGTTTTTTCCTTAACAATCAGGGACTTTAAGGAAATTTTACTTTAAAGGAATACTTTTCAATGCTAATGAAGCAAGTTTTATAAAATATAGGTCCTATGATTCAGCACTGGAGTAGAGTTAACGGGGAAGTCACACAAGAGGCTAAAAGTTCTCAGTCTCCCTCTCATCATTTCTCACAATAAAGCAACATGAAGAAAGAAGCAAGAGGCTACGTTAATAATACAACAGATGACCAGGAAGTTTCTTCTAGTGATAAAGTAGAGCTTTTGTAGCAATAACATCTGTTTGTCAACAGATGACCACTTTTTCTTTCTTTTTTTTTTTTTTAGTTGTAGATGGACACAATACCTTTATTTTTATGTGGTGCTAAGGATCGAACCCAGTGCCTTCCACTACGAGGTGAGCACTCTACAACTGAGCTACAACTCCAGCCCCACTTTAACTTCTTAAAGCGCTGAAACTACTACTAGGGAATCTTCATGTCTAACACAGCACCTCTGTCTTCTCAGTTCTGAGTTTTTTTAATACACTTTTTTCTTTATATCTTCCCTGTCTTTTAAAATAAATCAGTGAAGGTGGGTGACTAAGGTGAGGTTTAATAAACTGATCTCAGAAAACAGACTGAATATTTAGAGATAAAATAAGCCAGGATAAACCCCACAAGTGCACTCTGAATGATTGATGGCAACCATACCGTTGGAGTTTGCAGTGGTGTGGGGCTGACTCTGGAAGGTTCTAGAACGGGTGCCATACTGCCCTGAGAACTGCCCACTTTGGGGTGATAGCTCATTCCACACACCACGTGAAGAAGAATGGAGGCTCTGTGGGGCCACAGCAGAAGAGTTCAAACGCTGAGGCCAGACTAAATCCAAATCCTGGGGCTCTTCTTTTAGTTTTTCTCCTTCTTTGCCAACACGCTGATATATCCTCCCAGTGCTGTCATTCAGTAATCTTCTCATCCCTGTAATTTGTTTTTTAATTTCCATGCTTTCATCTCCTAATGGAAACAGAGCCAAAGTTAGCACTGTAAACTAATAAATAAAAAAATAGACTAAAAAAACCTCTTATTTGGAAATGGATTCCATAAACTTAAGTAATTCATAAAAAAGTTAAAGGCAGGAAATCTGGCTGTAGTCTAAAGACACTGATCATAGTTCTGATGTATCTCATTTTAATCCCTTTCTGGACAAGTTCTCTTATGAAAAAGAGGTTTCCTTAGTGAGCATCACTGGGGACAAACTTTCAAATCCCTCTTTGGAAGCATTTTCTGAATGACAGTGTCAGGTCATAAGTAAGCTGACTGAAACAGAAGACCAAGGACAGGACTAGAAGGTTAGAATCCTAGCCTCAGCCACAACCATCCACATGCTCCTATGTTAACCTCAGTAGGCAGGTGCCAAAACAAAGAAGAATGCATGCTATTCACTGGGATGCAACTTTTTGACAATGGGCTGCAGAGCACACCAGAAGTGCTACTGTCAGCAGATGTCCTTCAGGATGACACATTGTTGGTGGAGACATCACTTTCAGAGAGGATAACAGGAGACAGAGATGTAGTGAGTATCAGCATGACAAGCACGGAGACTGTCCTTCTAGTACCCTCACTCTCATCACACCAGTCAGAGCATGTCCCAGGAATCCCTGACCACTCCAGGTAATTGGCTATAGGAGCACCGAAAGGGTGGAAGTCAAGCCTCCTTGCTCTGCCCAAATACAACTACCACCTCCACTTCAGTGCCAACACTGTAATTTCATGTAAAAGGTAACAGACTAAACATCACTTCACCTACATTTACTTCTTTTTTAAATTATTATAAAACAAACCTAACATAAAATTTATCATCTGAATCATTTTTAAGTGCACAGTTCAGTAGAGTTAAGGGTATTTACACTGTGGTACAACCAATATCCAGATTTTTCTTTCCATTTACTTACAAAAATTCTTTTTCCCTTAGTCAATTTTTTCTTTAAGGTCTCTATACTGGACCTAAAGAGGACTATCGAATCATGAAAATTTTCTACCAATATTATTATCCGAAGATACTGTTACCTGTTATGAGTTATTTCAAATACTAACCCAGGGTCTTGCTCATGATAGACAAGTGCTCTACCACTGAGCTACATGTTGGCTCTGTATTATCTTCTTAAACTTTGCAAAAAGCCAGTATCCTTGCAGAAATTAAGAAAAACTTTTCATCTGACTTGAGAATTAAAAGTCTTATGCTGATACATATACACATTCATGCAATCATTCTATTACTAAATGTTTAAAACTACAGAACAAGGTCAAAAGAAAGTGTCTTTTAGGAAAAAAACAGCTCTTGCAAGTAAACATATAACGTAATGATATTTGAATGCACTTAGTTTCATATAAACTAGATTTCTCTTCAGAACTGGTAATTGAATTACCTAGGTATTTTGCATTATCTACTTGTATATTTATTAATGTATTATTACATTACTGGATACTATATAAGGAACTTTTACACCCTATTTTGAAATAAATATCTTCTTTTTTTTTTTTTGGCATGCTGGTGATCAAACCCAGGAACTTGCTCATGCTAACCACACCCTCTACCATTAAGCTACATCCTCAGCCCCTTCAATTTTAAAAATGGTAATGAAAATCCTAATTCTGTCTTTAATATTGAACATTGATGAATAAAGAAAAAACATGGGTTCCTAAACTTGCAAAAATGCAGCAAGGTGTTTCTGGAAGAGCTCCCAAGGGAATTCTGGAACAAGCCTACAGGCAAATGTGGTGGTAATTTCAGCATCAAAACATACACTTTCCTGGTGAGTTAACAGAACAATATGGGCAAGAGGAAACATATTTCCTGTGTGGTTTCCACTCTCAACTCTCTTGGTAGGTTGGTCACAATGTAGGAAAGGGGATGTATGGGCTGATCTTTAGGGGCACAAGCTAGTGGCTGGCTGCCTTTCCTCTCCTTTTGCTTGGGGCTCCCTGTAAGGACACAGGTTCTTGAGCCAGCGTCAGCTTACTTCTGCACACTGATCCTACACATCACAGGAAAAGGCATGTATACCTTGTCCAAGGTTCCATATCTGCTCTGAGGATAGAATTCTATGATAAAGTGCTACCATTATGAAAAAGAGAAAAAAGAATTGTGAAACCTTAGTTTTGGATTTCTTAAACTTAAACCCATGAAAATTACAAGACTGAAAATACAACCTGAGTTTTGCATGACTTTTATATTTTCATACTGATGACCAGACTCTGAAGCTGCAGGTAGAGATGAGGAAAGAAGGCAACAGACATAAAGAAGAGTCTAGGGTAGGTGGGCTGCTCCTCCAGTGTTCAGAAACATGTCTTCTAGAGGCAAAACATACAAAAAGTCATTACCTGTGGGGACCAAGCAGAGCTGTGAAAGAAGAAGGCAGAAGACTAGAAGCAAGGATGACTAATGTCACAGGAAAGAGCCCAAGGTCTGTGAGACATTTTAAAGGAAAGAAAATAGTAAACTATAATAGTTACCTAAGTCTCTTCTGAAAGGAAAGTCAAGAGATCATGGAGAAGGCTGAAAAAGAGTGGGTTGGCGCAAATTTCTTAAAGGAGACAGGCTGGGCTTCCCTAGAGGACAACTGGGCATTCGAGAATGGTCTTTGGTCCTAATGGAATCATATTTCCTTTAGCCAAGGAAGAAGGGAGGCACTGAGGCCATCACCCCTGAAGGTATCACCTGGGTAGAGGAAGTCCTGCAACTCAGACCCCTATGCAGGGTCTGGTGGGCTTTATCAGAGAGAAAGAAAGAGGTAGTTACTTTGAACTTTTGGGACAGAGAGGGCAGATGGTTAGAAATGAGACCCAAAGACTAAAGTAGGGAATCTCAAAAAAGCTGAGTCAACCTACTAAACTGGGGGCAGTGGGTGCTCAAAACATACAGACAGGCTGAGGCACAGAATTTCAGACAACAGATGTTAGTTGGTACAATGGGAAGGCTGGGAAGGTATTCCTGAGACCTGGACCACTTCTCAACTGTACTGACTTGCCACTAGCTATGAGATAAGACACTCAGTATTCTCAGACTTCAATTTCCTGAATCATAAAGGGAAGGTTTGAACCAGACTCATGCTACACATAACCCAAGGGGTATGCAGAAGTAGCTAGGAGGGCTACAGGTTTCCAAGTTTTCTACATGTAAATGGAGCATTTAATGCCTCTAAAAGTCACATATGTCCTCAGAAAAAGGGTTATTCTAATAGTGGAGGCCATGCTCTTTGATTTTCAAAAAATGGCAGAAAGCATATAAGTCAGATCTGAAGTATTAGTTTACTTCTCTTTGCTTTTCCAGTTTTAATTAGTCACTGTCTTCTCTCCATATAGAATCTGGAAAAGAAAACTCTTGGGAGTGAGGAGCTGTCTAGAGCAATAGAAGTCTAGAGGGGACCCTATTCACTTTTCCTAATTTCTTTCCAAGAATTTTCTATGTATTCACTTACAGGCAACTCCAGGCAAAATATGTTTAGCAAAAGCAATTGAAAAAAAAAAACAAAACAAAACAAAACACCTTGCTCTAGCAGAACTGTGCCATGTTGCTACATTATTGGTAAAACAAGCTTAACTGAATTTTTTTAAAAAAATATTTTTAGTGGTAGATGGACACAATACCTTTAATTTTAAATTATTTCTACGTGGTGCTGAAGGTTGAACCCAATGCCTCACACATGCTAGGCAAGTGCTCTACCACTGAGGCACAACCCCAACCCATTAACTGAATTCTTAAGGGAGTTTAGTGACCATACTCTATGGACAAGGTCTAGAAAAGAATGGAGGCTGGATTCTACTCATCACTGAATTTCAATACCATATTAGATCATTTTCCTTTAAAAAGAATTTCTATGATATACAATTTTGCATCATGTGATAAGTATTAAGGAATGATACAATATTCCTTCATTTGGCCAAGAAAGAAATATACACTACTGGGGCCTAACTATTCGTAGCCCAGGTTGATGAAAGATTAGGTGGTAACACACAACATACAGAATGTGGTTGTACATAAACATTGTACATCTGTCTATGTGTGCTTTCTTGTTATGAAGACACATGAAGAACAGTCACTGTTTCTTTGCCCTACAAATAAGTAATATGAAAAAAATGGCTTATCAAAAATGAAGTCAGGGGCTGGGGATGTGGCTCAAGTGGTAGCGCGCTCGACTGGCATGCGTGCGGCCCGGGTTCGATCCTCAATACCACATACAAACGAAGATGTTGTGTCTGCCAATAACTAAACAATAAAAATATTAAAAAAAATGAAGTCAGTAGAATAAGTGCAACACCAAGGCAGTAAACAAACAATATATTAACAGGAAAGAGTGAAAAAGTACCAGAAATAAATTTTTAAATAAACATTCACTGAGCACCTCCCAGGTCTCAGAGATATGAAGATCATTAGGTACAAACTGAAAGGTACTCTCCTCCAAATCTCCCAACATCTTTTACCCAAATCTCTATATGGATCTGCTGCTCTGAAAAATGAACCTTATTTTCCCCATCCTATTGACCCTTATTTCCTTTAACCATATGCCTGGAAACTCTAGTTAGCAGATTGCCCTAATATTTTCACACACTTTCTGCTTCCTTCCTTGAGTTAAAACATGACTTCCCAGAGGATGCTGCTTTCCCTGCAGCTCCCTTGCATGCGTATTATGCAGTATAATCAGATACATCCTTTACAAAAATAATTCTGACAAAACTGGTGTGGGGACAGAAATCCAGTAGAATATTATTGCTAAAGTCTACATGGCAATAATAGTCTTGATCAGGATTTGTGTGGGGAGCAGGAGTGGAGAGAGAAGATGGAAGGAAGACTCTGAAGGAGTTTAATCAAATGGGCATGGTGATTAGCTGGTGGGGACAGGTAGATGGGGGCGGGGTGGGGTGGTGAGGAAGAAGAATCAATGAAAGATAATTCCAAGCTTTCCAGCTCAGGTGGCTGAATGAATACTAGAGCCATCAGAGAAATAGAAAACAGA